TTAATAAAATTATGTTCCATTAACGTTAAATTTTCGGTTATATATTGATCGACATTCGTCTTTCTAAACCTCTGTGCCAAATATGGATAATTTAGTGATAGAATTTTTGTCTAAAATAAAATTTTAATGCCCTTATAAATTTTTTATCTGTTACGTAATTCTTAAATCTTAGACACAATTTACATTAAATGATATGATTTCATTTTTAAAGATTTGATGCTATGCGATTTAACGCTCAAGTTATTATTACTTACTTAGCTTAATAAATTAGATTGGAAACATAAAATTCACGATCTAAAGTTGAAAGTGTAAGTTTGAAGCTGAAGTTCAATAATAAATCTTTAATTGATGAGATGTATAATTTTAAATTTTTCTAAATTTTCGGCAGAAAGACTTTGTCGTGTGTAAATTTTATACTAGTGGCACGCAAAAGTGAACTCTTAAATGGTATTGGTTTTACATAACATATTGTAGTTGCTAATTCTAAGCATATTTTTTTTTAACAAATTTAAAAGGCCATTTACGATCATTACGATTTTATATTTTATACATTTATTTGTTAATTATTACAAGATGTCATCTTTTAGGACTGTTGTCTTTAATATTAGTTCGATGAGAGAACAATTTGTTCCAAATAGTCAGCTATGTATATATATCATAATAATAGACGAATTTACCAACGAAGCTAACGAAGCTTTATGTTAAACATTTCTTAATTGGTCAAAATTTCTTCAGAATTACTAAAATTAGTTAGTATCAATAATTGAAGTAACACAGAAATAGTTCTATACTGTAAAGTATAAATCCCCAAAAATCGAATTTGACGTAATCTTTGCGATGTCAAAATCGGACGTTTTATTTCCGAAAAAGTTTTTGATGGGTGGCAAGATCAATTAATTCCTCAAAATATAATTCCTTAGTACATTTTAAAATATATCCGAAAATTCCTTGGTATAATTCGAGGCTTTCAATTATGTTCGAAACTTGTCTAAGTTGTCTAAGTAAAAATGGGCGGTAATGAAATTTTAATTTGATATTTATTTTTTATATAATGTAATATTTATCCACGCAAATGAAGCTAAACAATTTCACTTTATTTAGTTATACAACTTGTTAAAACTGAAAATTTTATCAAATTGAAATCGCAGATATCGAAATCCGCCAAAAACAAAATTCAATTTTCGAAAAGTTACGACTTTGACAAAATGGAATTAGGGATTTGCCCCGCAACCTTATATATGAATTTTTGAATTCAAGTTCGGTAATTATTTTTGGAGAGATGGAATTATAAAATGTTTAAGAAAATTCTTAAAAGATTAATAAAAATAAATAAATAAAAGAATTTACATCACTTGATTTAAAAGACGCATATGTATGAATAAACCTAATTTTTAATACCTCATAGATGTGCGGTACATTTATGGTGAGTTTTGAGAAAAGGGACCCAAAATTTATTCCTTGTAATATTTTTGTTACCCAATAAAGGCAGGTTTTATTGTGATCCAAATATTCGGAATTTAACACAAATCCTAGCATTTCTTAATGATAAAGGTGTTGTGACTGAAATTGATTTTCGTCTGAAGTTCGAATTCAGACGATCTTTGAGTGTCTAAAATTGAGATTCGAAGATCAGTTAATTCCAATTTAGATACCCATTGAACAAAATAGGAAATGTCAAAAATCAAAAATCTCCGATTTTATAAATTAAAATTTAAATATATTTAATATACTGTATAACAGAATTGATTTTTTTGTGCTTTTTTTTTTCAATAAAAAAAAAAGATAATTTTTTTTATAAATTACAAAATCAACTTTATATTATACATAATTATTTTTTTTTTAAAAAAAAAAAAATGCCTAAAATCAGAAAGCCAACAAATAACAATTTCGATTCCAAGTTTAATAAAAGGGAAATTAATATTGGTGACGAAAGCCATAATTATGTTCACAAACCGACGTTCCCTTTCTCCTTATCTTTAAATAACATTATAAGTGTTATTAAAGCACCTAAAAACAATAAAATAGCAAAAACATTTCCAAATGCTTTCATCACCTATAAAAAGGCATTAATTAAAGAGAATCGTAATAGAAACATCAAATTACCTCCTATGCGTCACCTTTCTAAAATTACATCATGTTATTGGGATGAAGAACCAGAAAATGTAAAAGAATTTTACAAAAAGTTATCCGAGGATGCTAAATCTTTTTATAAGCAAAATACGATTCAAATCGTATTTGATAAACATGTCGAAGAGGGTTCACGTATGACAAGTGTAATTAGTGGAACTGATTTGAATTATATCCAAGACATTAAGGATCCCGTTGAAAATATAATTTATACGCAAAATTCTACAAGCGTGTATCTTCCGATTGAAGATAATTCTGCCAGCGTTATGAATTTATTCCTCGACAACAATTATATCAATAGTTCCAAGCTACTTTTCCAAATAGTAACTTTTTCGAAGACCCGTATTTAATGAATCAAGTTTCTAACGATCAAGAGTATATTAGAATGTTGGAATACGAAAGCGTGCATTTTTCACCTCTGCAATTTGATTCAGATTATGTCAATATTACCCAAGGTTTTGAGGTTCCCGTTGAGGATATAATCTTTACGCTGAACTCGTATCTTCCTATTGAAGATTATTCCACCTGTAACAATCGAGAGTATGGAATGGAACATATTTTTACTGATTTCTTATTGGTTGAAAATAATCAAAAAAGTGTTTCAACTTATGGCGCAGACTCGAATTATATCAATTATGGAACTGGGGAAGTTCTTCCCGTTGAAAATGTAAATATGTGTCTTCTGACCCTTTTTTAAGATCAATGATTGCAGAAATTTTTAAATGCATTATTCTTCTAAACTATAATTATAAATTTTATACATTGGCCGTGATATATAGAACTTAAAAAAAATTTATTTATTTAAGTTCTGTCATCGAATTGTTAATGATAAATAATGTTATTAAATACATATTGACAAATTAAATGTAGTTTTTTTAGAATCATTACAGAATGGTAATTTAAAGACTTTGTTTATCATAAATAATTGCTTCATTGCATATTTATTTAAAATATTTAACAATGGTGTTTTTTTATTTCTTTATCATTTTCTTTAATGAGACATGTTCTAATTCTCTTTTTTTACTTTTTCTACTAATAAATCACGTTCTTTATTCTTATTCAAACTCTATTGTTTATAGTATTTAATTATATTTAAGAAAATTAAATAAATACATTGACATTTATTTATCTTAGTTATATGGTATTAAATTGAATATATTCTATATAATATTAAATTAATATAATATTATAATTGCTGATTTAAATTTTATATAATACTTTATCTTTTGATAAAATATACATTAAAAACTACGAATATTTAAATATTATAATTTAAGATAATTTATAAATTAATAAATGATAATAACAATATATTTATAAAAAATAAAATATTATATTAAGATATATGCATATATTATAATATAGAAATCTTTATTCTTTAATTATATAATAAAAAACCTAAAGTATTGGTAGTAATTTTTAATTAATATAGAAATATATGAACTTTTACAATAATAAATTTTTTAAAATTAATTTCAAAATTTAAAACCTTAATCTTTATTAATAAACTTTATAAATTTATTGGCTAAACAGTTTAAGGAATAGATTTTCAGTTTTTAAAAGTTATTTATGTATCGCTACTAATAAGTATTTACAAAAAAATCTTACGCACGTGATTTGCCCAGCACATTAGCCCGAAAATACTTTAATATATATGAGGTCACGTGGGATGAATTTTTTTGTGTCAATGATCATGTTACAGTATGTAGTTAAAAAAAACCATTTAAAAGAATGAGATACTTAAAGGGCCCGTAGTATATAAAATAAACAAAAGAATTATCACAATACAAATGTTTTGATTTTATCGAGCAATAAGTCAAAAATTAATATTGATTTATCTTGTGTTCAATTGGAATATATTATCGGTGATTTGATTGATAATAACCATCGGTTAATTAATTGTTAGTTATTATAAGTGAATCGGATCACCTCATTTATATTTTTTTTTTATTTGTTTTAGTGTTAAATCCGCCGTATTAAAAGTTACAGTTATTTTCAAAGTCACGGTACAGCCGATTATATTCGAGACCTTCCGATTCGGAAAAGCCATCCACATATTTTCATGAGTAAAAAAATTGTGTCGCTATACTTGTAACTTTTAGCGATGTTTTTTCTTCAAAAAAAATTCTATACCGTTTTTTACCGAGTTTTTTTTCATCGATCTGCAAATGACCGGCCGTCCCGTGATTTTTGAAAAGAATGTCTAACATAGTTTTTTTAAATATCAAAGAAAACCTGTAGTGGTGTTAATCTTACAATCGAGAATTCACTGTTAGTATTATGAATTCGGTTACTCGAAGCTCCATATAGATTATTACTTCAAAATAATTGCTTTATATACTGCAAAAGTATATATGTGATAAGTTTTTTTTTTTAAAAAAAAAGGAATTGAATCAGCGAATCATTTGCTATTAAAACGAGTTACGAGACCGATTTGCACTGACAACGTATGCGTATTAACACTCTGTTTTGATCAAATTAATAACCCACCATTTCCGAAGTGCCAAAATTGTTTCCGCTCTTTTTTATGATCTTGGAATATATATAAGTTTGGTCAAGTTCAAGTGAATGTTCTCCCGCCGTTTACAACAAGGATAGATTAAACTTACCTTTAGATAAATATAAATGATTAATTAATTCTTGTGAACAGTGATGAAATACGTCATACGTTTAAACTGCATCCTGAATTTTTCTTTGAAATTTTTTTTAATGATAGGTTACACAAGGAACACAAAAATTTATAGAAAGTGATCTTTGTTGTATAAACAATTGATGAAGAAAATACATCAACAATATTAACTTTCTTTTTCTTTGTCAGTATGTACATGTACCTCTACTTGGCGTTTGTAACTCTTATGCTAAAGAAGTTGTTTTCCAGTGTAATAATTGAAATGTTAAAATAAAGAACAAAGAAAATATTTTATTACTAAAACAAATATGGTAATCTCTATAAGGTTCCTAAGTCGACATGTAACTCAAAACTCTATAGATATTACCATATCTCATTTTGTAATATGTACAATTGTGCATGTGTAAGGTTAATTATGAAAATCGTATGATTTTTTTGTTTGTAGCACATACCGTAAATCACAAAGCAAAATTGTTCAGTACAAATCCATATTCCGTATCATCCATTAAAGATTCCGCATCATTAGGTTGCATCCAAGGATTTGTTTTGAAAGAAAAAAATGAAAGTGTCTTTATCAATCATGTATTCAACATTTAATGAATAAAATTAGGCAATGGTTATAAGTTTCAAAATCGCGTGTAACAAATATGACGAAACTTCGACATAATAAAAAATTTTTGACCGAATATAGATATCCTCTTTTTTTACTTTTCCTTTTACTTTGTAGATTGGATATAAATTACAAATCAATGGAACATTACACAAACTGCAAATACTCAGTATTTGTTGCGTCTAAAGGTAATCAAATATCGGCTTACATATTCTCGTCAAAACCCTTGATATGTTTCAAGAAAAGATTTCTTGAATATGTAAAAAATTTGCAGAGCATAATACAAGTAGGTTCAATATCTTCCAATTGCTTTTTATTTTTTTTGACTATTTTTTGTTTCATTCCGTACGGTCAACCAATAGACACATAATGAATATATGGATTTCTTATAATTACAAATTTCTTTTTAATTCTCAATTATCATGTAAATACCTTCGAGATAGATGAAAATAAAAAAATATACTTACTACGTAAAATTAATTCAATTCCGCAGCTAGTTATTATAGTAACTGGTTAATATGACCAATTTAAGCTAATAATATGTTTGAAAATTGAATAACATTTGCTTTTTTATTATTAATAAAAAGAACAGTTGTCTTCATTTATTGATTTCACCAAAAAAAAAAAAAATTGAATTTAATAAGCTTCGCTAAAATTAAATAAATACGTGTGTATCATTACTTACGGGATTTTTGTTACTTGTGTCACATACATTAAACCATATAATCGGTTTCTCTAAGAACTGTATTAAGTTACTTTTATAGCTTTAAAAATCAGATATAATAAATAATTTAATATTTATCCATAAATTCATAAGTAAAGCAACATAAGCTCTAAATAGCTTGTTTTCGATATTTATCCGGAACGTTTAATTGGTCATTAGTTTTCAATTTCGGTTATAAAATAACAACTTTGAAACTTCACATACTTATAGAGGTTCTTACAAATTATCTTTTTAACCTTCGGACACATACAGTACATCTGATCATCCATCAGCGGGGATAACAATCGTCGGTCTTACCATTTTATTACAAATGATAAATGATTATATTAGGAAATCATAAGTGAATACTTTTCGAAATATCCTGTCTCTGCGACTTAGGAAGAACTAATCAATGACAATTCCTATTCCGAATAAGAAATCTAATCGAAATATGAAGCCATGTGTAATACTTTTGAGTCAAAATTATGAATGATAACGATCTCAATGCTAATTCTAACCCACGTTCCAATCTTACGAAAAGTCGTTGCTTGGTTATTTCCAAAAATAGTCCCTGCCTTCAATCTTTGAATCATCAAAATATAATTGAGCAAATTAAAATTTTCGTCGAAAGGCCTCTACACACCAACAATTCTGCCTTGGAAATTTGATTATAAAAGACCAATTCACGAGCTCAATGCAGTATTATATCGAAAATAAAGTGAATTCAGGCAGAACAATATATTCACTGCAAACAAATGTTCATATAAAGATCAAAGGATAATGAAGAAGGGATTTAAAAACAGGATTATTTAAAATATTTCGTTGGTAAATGATATTACAAACCTGAAATGGTTTTTCTTCAATATTTGAATTAACAATAAAAGCTTTAAACGCAAATATGTTTAAAATTATATTATCGTGCTCACCAGTATGATGTAGACGATCTTGTTTTTAATATTTTTAGTGATATCACGATGTTTATATGAAAATTAGTTATATTAATAAATAAACTATTAATAATATTAATAATACTTGTTTTATACTTTTATTAATATCTAGTAACTTGTTTCTATTTT